TTTTTTTTTCCCTGAGCATTGATAGGAAAGGCATTGTTACAGGCTGGGCTGATGGTACTGGCTTTTGCTTTTTATTGGTGTGACGGCAGCTTCACAATCATTTGCCTCAGTGATCTTACGGTTATTCCCATCATGGATGACAGAGTGATTCTCAGTCCTGTCCTTCCTGTACAGAGCTGTGGGAGTGTTTGGTGACTGCATCTGTGATTGAGGAGCCTTTGGAATCTGGTGCAAGTGGCAGCAGTGTCATCTCCCTCTCCATTATTGAATGGCAACTCTCTAGAGCATCAGGAAACTATTCTGCCCTCTATTCTGCCTTGGTGAGGCCGCATCTGGAGTATTGTGTCCAGTTCTGGGCCTCTCAGTTCAAGAAGGACAGGGAACTGCTTGAAAGAGTCCAGCGCAGAGCTACTAAGATGATTAAGGGAGTGGAACATCTCCCTTATGAGGAAAGGCTGAGGGAGCTGGGTCTCTTTAGCTTGGAGAAAAGGAGACTGAGGGGTGACCTCATCAGTGTTTACAAATATGTAAGGGGTGAGTGCGAGGGGGACGGAGTTAGGCTTTTCTCAGTGATGACCAGTGATAGGACAAGGGGTAATGGGTGTAAATTGGTGCATAGGAGGTTCAAGGTGAATATCCGAAAAAAATTTTTTACTGTGAGAGTGACAGAGCACTGGAACAGACTGCCCAGGGAGGTTGTGGAGTCTCCTTCACTGGAGACATTCAAAACCCACCTGTATGCGTTCCTGTGTGATGTACTCTAGGTGACCCTGCTCTGGCAGGGGGGTTGGACTAGATGATCTTTCAAGGTCCCTTCCAACCCCTAAGATTCTATGATTCTATGAAACTTTAATTGGTTATTCTTTTAATGACCATGGAACAATCCTTTTGATGACCATGGTGCATGTGCCTACTGGAGCAACAGTAATATTTGGCAGCATTAGTGGAGCCTTTCTGTTACTTCAGGCCTGAGGAATACTTAAACTTTTTAAAATTGCAATTTAAAAAGAAGTATTTAGTCCAAATTTGTGCAGTTTCACAGCTTTTCCGTGCTCTGACTGCAACAGCAGAAGCAGAACTAGCCACAGGTTTTAAGTGCAAGATTTGCTTTTTCCAGGGGAAATAACTCTTTGTTTTAGTCATAGTCAAATTTTGGAAATGTTTTTCCCCATAATTTGGGATGATACAGCAACAAAAATCCTGTTTGGCCAGTGTGGATAGTTAAGTGCAAAAATAGAGCTGTTAACATGATACATAGTAGCATTGATAGCAACAACCATTTCCTTTTTGTGTAATATTACAAGAAACCTGACACTGAAAATGTTTTGAATGAACTGACACTTTTTTGCACTTCATAATACTTTTTACGAATGAGGTCATCCTACTTCTTTGGTTTAAGGCAGAAAAATATTATTTCCTGAGGTGACAATGAACATAATCAAGTTCTCTTCAGTTTTGCCAGAGCTGGTAAGAAGCCCAGATTACTAATGTCAGAAGTCTTGGCTTTTTAAACACACTCACTGAATTGAAGTACAAAACATGCAAGTTGTGCCCTTTTTAACCATTAGCAACATGTCATTTCAGACTCGGATATAAAAACCAGAATCTTTCATGGGGAGGAGGACAGTTGGGGGTTGTCCCTTAACTTCATCTCTGGTAGCAATAATCTGTGTTTATTAGTTCAGAGTTTCTGGTTTCCAGGACTGCTGATGACCAGCAGATTGAGCCAGTTTAAGTTTGTGTGAGAGAAGCTGTGTGCAGCTGGGCTGGAACAAACCTTGGAGAAGGTGGTGACTTGATTCCATGCTGTGGAGGCTCAGCAGGCTTAAAGCTCCTGCATTTCATGTTTCTCTGTTGGATTTTATGGAAGGAAGCTTGTGCTAAGAAAATTACACTGGTAGTTGAATATCATCTTTGCTTCCTTAGCAATCATAGAATAAATAACCTTATTGTATTTTTGTACTTTGAAAAGGCTACACATTCCCTTAGATGATCTGGAAAATGAGACTTGACACCAGAAGGTAATTGCAGTGAACATCCAATAGCAAAATTAGAAAATTAATACTATTTTTACCTCTTGAAGTAAGAAAATCTATTATCTGCATTAATTTGCCTTGACTGCAAAACGTCTCATTTTATTCCAAACAAATTTGTGTGTCACAGCAGAGAAATGAAACTCTGTTTACGTTACACAAATATTATTTGGTCTCACTAATAGGCATTTTTTTTCTCACCACCACTTATCTTCAGAGTTAATAAAATCACGGTCTCCATGATAACGTCTTGGAAGTAGCTCAGGGAGAACGAGTTATTTACAGTAATGAGAGAAATAACAAATTTTAGGTATGAAGAATCTCGAGGGTGGAGTCAGGACTTGTTTATGGAGTTTGGCTTTCCTGTGTCCCTGTGGAGCGATTCCCAGTAGTCACAGCCTTCCTTGTTTTCCCCCCAGCAAGGGCCCGTTATCGCGCCTCGCTCCGCAGCCTGTGAGAAAGCCACGGCTGGGCTGTCTCCCGTAGGCTTCGCCTGGCCGTGTCAACAGATTACAGCATTCCACTTGTTAGGACGAGCCACGGAGCAGGAATGTTTTACTATTATGTTACTCAGCAGTGATAAAGTTGGCAGTCTTTTTATGGTTAGGTCCTCAAAGTGGCAGTTCATTTTACTGATAAGGAGACAGAGCTTTGGATATCAGACCCAGACTTATTATCTTTAACAGTGAACTGTGGCTTAAATCCTTCCACAATGACAGGAACCCCATCTGGAGTGAAGGTTTCCAGAATCTTAAACTGGAGATACTGAGGCATTTTCCTTCCTCATGAGTCAAAGCAGAGTTAACCCCATTGTTATCAAAACAAAAAATAACCGGCCGCCAAAAGGAAGGATGCATTTTTATGTTTAACTAAATTGTTTAGTTTATATCAGAACAACTATTGAGTATAATTTTCAGACAGATCCAGGAGGGTGAATTGGGAGCATTATGCTTAAAAGCTTTTACTTAGTTGTTTTAGAATATTGAAAGGAGCACTAATGAATCTCCCATGCTGCAATATCTAAAATTCCTCTTAATATTTTTCTCAAAGGAAATGAACTAGACATTCTGTGAATTATTTTTTATTTTTTTTTTTTTTTGTGTATGAGATCTTTCCTTATAGTATGTAGATGCAGCTTCTAATCATGCCTTGAGCACAGCATATGCGTGTTGGCGCTGAACACCGAGTAAAGACATACTTGGATTCTATTTACAGAATCCTGTGGGTTGCAGGGGTTAAGTGTAATCCAGATTATACAGTGTTAACATTTTCCCTACTGATATCAAAGTGTAGAAGACTGGCAGGCTGAGTTGTTAGGGAAGGGCTGGGAGAGGGATAACAGGCTCCGACCTTGAGAGGCCAAACAGCCAGTCCTTGTATGGCCAAGTCCATATACGTGTCCAGCTGATTGGTTAGAGGAGCAGGATCTGTGCCGTGACAGGTGTTGGGGGAAGCTACACCTGTTTTCCCCATATGCTGATTTAGGGATTACATTTTTGTGGGAGTTCCAGATACTGTGTGGGATACGCAGAGCAAGCCAAGAAACTTGAGAAGGAATGATAGCTTATGGTGACCTGTGATATTAAAGAATTTCAGACAGTGTAATTGAATTTTCAACTGCTTTTTAAAAGCTGAAGTAGAAGTAGTCAGTATTTTGCATGTATATGAATAGTGAGAAATTCTTATGTGGATTTTATTCTACTAAAAATTAGTAGGTGGCACTTGAAGAAAAAATGCTGATGAATACTATAGTCCAAACACTGTTTTCTAATACCAGAAATTTAGTGTGCTGTAGAAATATATAGCCTCTATATGGGAAAAAAAGCAATTTCTTTATGGTTCTGAGAATGCCAGCTTGCAGATTTCAAATCTTTAGGGCTTCTAGTGTAAAATTTGTAGAATATAAATAATTTATCTCAAAAAGAAGACACAATTCCCCTTGTGCTTGTATAATCCTCCTGCTGTCTTATGTACTGTTAATGTATACCTGTTTAACAATTTATACTGCTTTCCTTTTTTAAAAAACATTAATGATTTTTCCGTCACTAGCATTTTAAAATCTTGGTTTGTAATAAATGAGAACTTGCAAAGGAAGACTTCTGTTTCTGTAATAGGGTGAAAAAGACAAGTAACAAGGAATACAAATTTTGTTTAAAATGTGGTCATGAGACCTGTATTTTCATATCCTTTCTTTCAGTAGCTTATTTGTAACGCTTAGATTGGAGACAAGTTTGGTTTTTTCCGGGGGATGTTGATGTGAGTTCTCCGTCAGAAACAGGAAGTAGCCCAATAAAGCAGTTGCATCAAAATGGTCTAAAGAAATCTCAAAAAGCTTATATTTAGCAAACTAAGTAATTTTAGAGAGAGATTATGTAATTTCTTTTTATAATTTTTGCAGTTCTTATTATCATGCAGGGTGATAGAAGTGGAGGAAAATCCTGCCTTTGTAATTTACTGAGACCATGTGTTACATATATTAATCTATTGCAGTTGTTGAATCTGATAGGAAATGTAAGCCTCTATGTTTCTCAGGGTTTAACTCTATGCTCTTTAAAATGTGAGTATTAAAATTAGGATGATAAAATAAATTGATTAAAGATCCAGTAAACTGACTTTTAATTACCAGTGATGACATTAACTCCTATGCATGGGTTTGAATGTTCCTTGTATATCAGGCAATTTAACTCCATCAGCTAGTATCTCAAAGGGGTTTTGCATGGAACACTGGGGAGAGGAGGTGGGTGTAGGTTGAAGTTACACATGACATGGCACCTGGGAGTGTCTATGCCTCTAAATGAACCTTTTCTGTTTGTCCACTATTTTGAAAGACTAAGCCTGTCTGTTGATCAGTGAGTTTTGTCTGTGAAAGTTTCATGTAGTTTCAGTGGCTCTGAATGATTCAGTGATATACAAAACTTCTTGGCAAGTTAGTATGATTTGTATGTGAATTTTCCAATTGTATTTCAGACCTTAAGAAAGAAAGGCCTTAATGGTTGTGAGAGCCCTGATGCTGACGATTACTTTGAGCACAGTCCACTATCGGAGGACAGATTCAGCAAACTAAATGAAGATAGTGATTTTATTTTCAAGCGAGGCCCTGTAAGTACTTTTATTTTATCTCTACTTTTTATTTGTTGATCCTTTTTATTAACTTCATTATTTAGGCTCTGAACAAGAAGGAACACAGAGGGTGCGACAGCCCGGACCCTGACACTTCATATGTGCTCACGCCACATACAGAAGAAAAATATAAAAAAATTAATGAAGAGTTTGATAATATGATGCGGAATCATAAAATCGCAGTGAGTACTAAAGTATGGTTTGTGCTTCTATTATGTGCATGAGAATTTTCAGTGTTTGCTTACCACTGAATACCACTGCAAAGACAAGAGGATGTAATGGTTTGAGAAGAGAATGTGTACTTTTGAGAACAGTTGACATGTTGACACTTGATCTCGTTAAAATACATTTTACCTTGAAGTATAAGATTTCTCTCTAGCTTTTGTTCTGCACTCAGTTTTTCATACCTTGTGAACATGAGGTAACACTTCTAAATTTCAGGAGCCTAGCTGTATTGCCTAATCCTACCTAAAATATTTTTATAAAGATAGATATTGTCGTGGGATGTGGGTAGTTTATTTAAATCTTGTAGCTCTTTATCTGTTTGTTAATCAAGATTTTAAGACATGTTATAAACAGGCAAATAGAATTGGATTAATTTTGCCATTAAATCAGGTGAATTTTATTTGGCTGAAAACTGGATGTAGACAGGTAGATATTTAAAGACTGGTGCACAATGGGAACCTCAGAAGATTGGTATCTTACTGCTATTGGAATTCTAACAGATGTTTCCATGGACACTGAAAGGTCTTTGAAAATTTTGTCCCAAGTGTCTTAACTGATTAGCAGCCGTAAGTCACCTAATTGCTTTAGAATGATATGATCCATCCTGTACTGTGATGAGAGGACAATTTTCCATTTTAGTGTTATTTAATTAAGAAATGAAATAGTCATTTTCTAAATGCCGTTTATTTACTGGACAGATTATTAATGTTTTCCTTAGTTTGATAAATCTAATTTTGGAGTCTATAGCAAAAAAAAATAATTAGTGGATGTGGGCTCTTGGAAGAGAACTACTGGGCTCCACAACTCCAGAAATTTGGGGTTAACAGTAGTGTAAATTTTGCACATTTTTCAAGGAGGTGTACATGATGACTTTTCCATCTACAAAACCAATTAATGTAGAGTATGACAGGGGAAGTATTTTCTAACAAAACTAATACAGAACTCTGCCGTAGCCTTTGAATTTTTTAACATTGCAAATCTTGTAGCAATTAAAATAAGTGGACTGGCTAGGTTAATCAGCACAGATCCTGGGGTAATTGAGTAGTGTGTCCCCAAATGACATGCTGATACTAGAAATTATTTCATTGTTCAGAGCAATGAGGCCATCTCTACAGACTTTCACAGCAAACTGACAAGTCGTGACACCCAGCGTCACTTCTTTTAGCAAGTTCTTTAGACTTGAATGAAGCCACTATCTTTTGTTCCTGCTTTGTTTTGAAGCTTTTGATATCCGGCATTTCTGTGTTGAGACATCTTATTCAGGCCTCGTCTCTAATACACCTAAATTCCTCTCCCTTGGTTGTCTCTGGTCTTCAGGAACAGCCTGAATTTGTCTGTGTGGGCATCAGTGTAAATAAAAAAGTACAATGTTATTGTTTAGCTCTATGTTTCTGTATTTATAACTTAAATTGGACCTGTTTTGGTTCTAGATCCAGTATTTATGGTTCTGTAGAAGAACATAGTTTCCTTTTGCTGTAGTGCTCTCATTACTGTCAAAGGATAGGAATGAGGCAAAGTGTGAAGAATTCAGTCATAACCAAATGAGTCCTGTAGATGGGCAGAGGCAGCCTTGTTTGCAAGGTGTGAGGAAGGTGTCATTTATTAGTCCTATATTGAGAAACCTACAGACAAAATGTTCCAAATGCTTCTAGCATTTTTAAGGCATGCTTCAGCTATTTCAATTGTAGTTTGATTTACTTGAGAGCATGCTGTTTAAAATCCACCTTTTTTTGGTAGATGTTAAATAGTCTTTTGAAGTAGTTTCCTGTGAAAACAAATACCAGAACAGCTTGTCATTAGTTAGATACTGCAAATGATTTGCTAGCATTAAGTTGCTATGCTTCATTACTTTTTCCTTCCTTCTGTGCCAGAAATTGATAATTATTCTTAGGAATGCCTCACTAGCAACAGTGTCATTGGCTCTCACTACTGAGAGATTTTGTTTCTTGTAGAAAATGTATTATGCTCTTTTAATTAGTATAGCTGTTGTAGCTCTAGTATTGTCAAAACTGTCATACAGAAGTATAATTTTACGTAAATTTTAAGTTGCATGTGGCAAAAGTAAGTCTTATCAAGTATACTTGCTGGGTCATGAGTGTTTTGTCATCTGCATTTCACTTCTAAATTAAAACTACTATCTTTCTGTTCTGTTAATAAATACTAAGGAATATTTATCCTTAAATTGTACGTGTAATGGTTTTGTTTCCAGCAATTATGAAAGTTGTGAAAGAAAATAGTCTCATTTGTTTCAGAAACTCATCACTGTCAAAGGATAGGAATGAGACAAAGGCCAAAGAAGTTAGTCATAGCCCAATGAGTACCATAGATGGGCAGGCATCTAAGCTTTTGATTCAAATACTTGTTGGATAACAAACATATATACTTCAGAAAAATATGTTGCCTTTTAAATAATAATGTAAAAAATTAGAATTGAAAATTGGCAATATTTTGGCAAGGTTAATAATAGGAAATGTTAACACTAACTTTCTTTTTTATGTAATAACTGATTGTTGATTTTGTAATCTGCATGTTTACGCTTACATTTTGTAGGTGCAACAGTTTGTTGATTGTAGACATGTTGAGCTTGTCATTGCTTTGTAATAATCTAAATTAACTGATAAATTTGTTGTCTTTCTGGGGTTGTGAATTCGTATGAATATCTTCCATTTTTTATATTTGAACTCTCAGTATTTTAGAAGTTTGTGAGTAGTTCTTTTGAAACTGTATTTATATGATGTATTAGAGTTTAACACCATATCTACAACAAATGGATGTTTTAAAATTGTATGCTTAATATTAAAAACTAACAATTAACTTTGTTGGGAAAAAAACCACCCACCTGATTAATTATTGGCAAACATGAATGTGTATTTTTATAAAGTGCTGTTTCTGCAGACACAGTTAATGCTAACGTTGCTGTCTGTTATGTGTTCCTTGTCTTTCTGCAGCCTGGCTTGCCTGCTCAGAACTTCTCGATGTCGGTTACGGTTCCAGTGTCCAATCCCAACACTTTAACCTACAGTAACCCAGGGAGTTCCCTTGTATCACCCTCGCTGGCAGCCAGCTCCTCCTTAACAGACACCACCATGCTCTCCCCTCCTCAGACCACCCTGCATCGCAACGTATCACCTGGGGCCCCTCCCCAGAGACCACCAAGTACTGGCAACGCAGGTAAGATTTGATGCTTTGGGATTTTTTTTGGTCACAAACCCCCACCCTAAGCAAAAGAGAGTAACAAGTTCTTAATGGTATTGGTGCATTTTCTTATTTTTTGAAGACCCAAAGTTCTGAAGTACAAAATGATGTGATACTGTGACAACAGCAAGTTTAATGCTCTGGCTTATGTTTATTAGGTGGAATGCTGGGGACCACTGACCTCACAGTGCCAAATGGAGCTGGTACCAGTCCAGTGGGTAAGTCTGGTATTGTGTCTTTGTTGAAGAATAGTTTTGTGGTTTTAGTTTCACAGTTAATCAAAAGCTATTCTTTATTTCAACTCTTTTGAAAAAGTGGTTGTGGAAGAACAAAGGTTGTAATTTTCTTAGTTGCCTTGTAATTGTCAAGTCTTGTAAATTCTTATCAGGGGTTTAACATTTTACTGCCATGCTCTTTCCACTTCAGTAATATTTGCATTTTTCATTTTAGTGGTTTTCAGTAGCAGCATGCTGCTCTTGCTTTTGTGTCTCTCTGCAGGTGTAATTAGAGCACTCTAAAGCCACCTGATGTTCACCACATTTCTCACTTCACATGAAATTCAGTGCACTTACTGAACTATAACACTAAACACAACTCAGCTGTGTTCTCAGCTTTAGTATTCACAAGACCTGGATGGCTGATACTAGTTGTGTTGCCAATCAAAATGAAGAAAATACAGACTGTATTGTTTGCATTGCCATGTGTATCTTGCTAATTATTTTCTAGCAATTATACAAAGAAAGCAATAAATCTTGGAAGCTGATAGCAAGGTTCTGTCTTTATTTTGGAAGATGATCAGAGTTTCTTTCAAAAACAAATGAGAGATCCTGCCAGAAATAAAATTAATTGTATTTTCTGGGCTTCAGTAAGAAGAGATAGTAGCATTTTTAATTTAAAAAAAACAAACATTTTGTCTCTCCTAAACAAAATCTAGTACTCTGGTAGAGGACAGGCAGCCATTGAAATTTATCACACCACAAAAAGACAAAATAAATGACAGTTTACCCACTTTCTTCATGTTCCTTCCATTCCTTGGGATGCCTTGGTAACTGAAGATCACTTTTGGAACTACACATCACTCTCCTTGGTATGTGTTCATACTAAGGAATTAGAGAAGCAACTGTTGACCTTTCAGTATTTGCCCACTGGCTACTTAGTGTGGCAACTGGAAGAAAGTTATTGGAAGATAAAGTCAGGCAGTTGAATTCATGAATAAAAAATGCTTCAACTGCAAGGCTTAAGGCACAGGATTGACTTTCAGCTCTTCATCCATTCTTTGGCTATGTGCAGCAAAGATATGAAATATTAAAGTGTAGTTTCTATCAAGTAAGCAAAATTTTAAGAGAAGGACACTTGTGCATTTGAAAAAGATGGCCATTTTTAGAAACTGTGAAGGTCAGATGTTGATTTCCATAGTATTTCTCAATAAATAATAAGTTTATTATCAATTTGTTTCAGGCCTCTTCTCCAAAATCAGACTTCACTAACAGCACCCTCAGATGTAAAACTACTTACTTCAATAAGCAACTAAAACAGTTGTTTGCAGCACTTGCTATAGAATATTAAACTTTAGATATACTCAAGTTACAGCAGCTTGGTGAACATATTTAATGCAGTAAAATGTTTTCCTTCTCGCATTTATTAATAGTTGACGTGAAAAGTCAAAATGCATCACTTATCTCTTACTTTCCAGAACATCACACCCAGAATGTTATACATGTACCCACTCACTTCTAGAAAGATTTTTCATACGAGTTATGGCTATGCAGGAACAGTGGAGCACCTAGAAGAAGTACCTCTAGCAAAACAGCTAGTTAGCACCAGAATGCTAAGCCTCAGAGCCCTACACTGCCTAGTGGGAGGTGTCCCTGCTCATAGCACGGGGGTTGGAACCTGATGATCTTTAAGGTCCCTTCCAACCTTTACCATTCTATGATTCTACTAGGATAAGGCATGGCTTCTTTTAAATACTGTCAGGTGAATGGAAACCTTCATAGTTGCAAACAAAATCAGGAAGCCATATATAACCAGATTGAGTAAATCTACTAACTTATCAATTTAAGCTTGACAGCTGCCACTGAAGTGTGTATATCGAGTTAATTATGTCTGCAGAGAACAATGGGTTTAGTTTCTTGCTACATTTAGTGTAGAGTAACCTTAAAAAATATTTTTTTTCTTTTTTTAGTTTTCTTTTTTTTCTTTTTAACTTCTCAGGAACAGAGAATTCTTCTCTGGATATAGTTGTGAAAGGTCATGTGTCAGATTTGCAGCTCACAACTTATAGGAGAGATGTCAAAGATGGATTACTGGCATACCCACATTCCTAGATACTCTTTTCTAGACAAAGGAAAAGCCCAAATCTTGACATGAAGTTTTGAGCTTTTGAGATTTTCTTCTCATTTCATTGACACCTTCATCTGGATGAGTTCCTGTGTGATGTACTCCAGGTGATCCTGCTCTAGCAGGGGGTTGGACTCGATCTTTTGAGGTCCCTTCCAACCCCTAGGATTCTGTGATTCTGTGATCTCTGATTAAAAAGCATGTAAAGGTCATCTTGCATAGGTGGGGGACAGTTCAAACAAAGATGTTGCATAAAATGGCTCATATGTAGTTCATGAGTTTCTCTCTCAAGTCCTGTGAACCTGGACTGGAATAGAACAGATCCCTTAGCAGTCAGTCTGCCAGCTGAACCTTTATCCTGTGGGAAATGACTGAGTAAAAATACCCAAGTGTTGTAGGAAAGATTGGTAGGTGGGTTTTTTTATGTCTCGAACAGAAAATTTGGTGGTAATCTTGTAATATTGAGAGCTTATTTCATAGGCAGCTGTCATAACTCTGAAAAAGCATTTTTATTTAGTAATATTTTCAAAATTTTACCCACCACATAAACATTTGTGGAAAATTTTTACTTGGCAAGTGTATCTGTTTCAAGGGGAGAAAAAATGTCTGGCATTATGACAGTGTTTGCTTTTGAGCTAATTTATTTTTTCGATTAATCAGATCAAATGTTTTGAAGCACTAATTTTCATGCTACTGTTGCCTGTGGTGAGTGCTAAAACCTGTTCCGTTTGGGTTGAAGTAGGGCAGCATGTCTGTGTGCATGAAGTTTCGACCCAGGATGCACCACCACATCTCTTCAGATGTTCTAAACACATCCCTTCTGTTGGCCATTCTTTATTCTGGCTTTGTATGGATCTGTAACAATCAAGATGCTCAGAAAGCAGAACTCTGATTGCATTACCTGTCCATTGTTCAGTTGACAGAAAACCTAAAAGGCATCCACTTGCTACTTGGCAACTTTTCACATGAGGCTGAATAACACTTAGATGCAACAACTTTATGCCTTTGTTTTAGGTTTGCTGTGGCATTCTGAATAATAACCCTGGTCTTGAAGAAGGCCCATTTAAATTCAAAATATCTTTGATAATTGTCTCTCCTTTTATGTAGCTTTAGGCAAAAAAAAAAAATTAAAAAAAATCCAGCAACCTGGGCAGTGAGTGGGTTTTTTTAGTTGTGTAACATGAGTAAGCATTCCCTTTGACACTTAGTCTTGTGTGTTTCTTTTTGCTGCATTTTAATATCTGAAGTACTGCCTTAAAAATACAAATCTTACATGTTAGACATGTTTCAAAATCTTGTATTACTGTCAAAGGTATTGCCTGAAGTACTGATTTGTAAAGATCAGTGGAAATACTTTTATTTGCAAATATTTCCCCCCCTGCCCCAAGGTCTACATGTTAATGTTCTTCATTAGATTTTATCTGCTCTTTTAGGTGCATAGTGAATCGATGGCTTATTGCAAACACAATTTTCTGTTTACTTCTAATTATATGATGTTTGGGTTGCGTGATGTCATTTGAGGCATAAATATTTATTTGCTCCCATTCTTCTTTTTGCTTAATTTTTCACAGCTTAGCTGCTTGTCCACAATTATTTTCCAAAATTGTGTATAACTGTTCAGTTTCTCCAAAGGTGAACAACACAAAAAAAAGATTAATGGCATCAGTGACTATAATTTATTCCTGGAGTAGTAATAAGTACATGGAGTACTTTCCAGCCACGTGTGTTCATTGTTTCAGCTGATGTGATTTATGTAGTGAAATATGAGTCTGGCTCATGTAATTGAAGGCTACGTCTTGGGCTGCAGGACAATAAATGAGATTAAGCTGTATTATGTTTCTGAAGGCAGAATATACAGTTGTTAAAATGGGTGGTTTTTAACATTTAGCTTCAGAAAAGAGGTTATTTCAAAAGTAAACATTTTCTGACTAAAGAAGTAGGCTAATGCACATGGACAATGTTTGTTATAAAATCCAATTAAATTCTAATTGTAATATTTATTTAAAATCATAATTGAAATCTTGCCATCTTTGCATTGGTGTCTGTTTTCCAAGAAAGTGTTTTGAAAATGCTTTCATAGTCTGTTGTAAAGAACTAGAATTAAATACAACTGTTCCAATGGAAGTAAACACAGTAATCATATTTTACACTCACATAGGATTCTATATTCTTTTGCCATTTTTTTTCAGGTTGATGGTATTTTTAAATGTAAAGTAATTGTCTTTGGAAAGATCTATAGTGGGCAGGGTTGATACAATTTCTGTATTATACAAAATAGTAAGTAGAATTTATGGGGTTATTAAAGCCCCAGTTTGGCGAGCTGCCTTATAGTTGCATCATCCTGTAATCATTCTCTTTTTCTGGCTCCTGACCTTACTCTAAGAAATACCACGCTTTTAGTTATCCTTTCACTCTCAACTTGTAATTTGATTTTCTTATTAGATTATTAACAGGAAAAAAAGGCTAAGTTTCATATTAAAAATGAGTATTCTGCAGTCTTACTGCAACCCCAGCATAGGATTCTTCAAATAATCAATACATATACTTCAGTGTTTGCTAAATATTCACTGCTTGTTATTTATAGCAAAGGGCTGTTAGTGGATTAATACCCATACTACTGCACATTTGATGCATTATTTCTTCCATTCCTTGTATATATATTTGGTCTTTTCCTAAAACCTCATTTTATTAAATGCTCAGCCTTTTGTCAGAAAAAATGCTTTGGCTCTGCCCTGCTGCTGAATGATGCTGTGCAGAGAAGGTAATGGCAAGAACTTTGTTGTTTTTGACAGTACCACTGAAAGCATGAAATGTCTGAGGGACTGGCAGAGCCTTGTAATAAGGGCTTCAGGAAATGACTGTGCTGGGTGTGGAAGAAAGACACTGTCCAGATTTAACACACGAGCTACCGAAATACTTGAAAACAGAGGACAGGAAATGGTATCATAGGACAGACTAAAATGCTGCACAGAACTCCATTGTTTATACACAGTGTTATTGTTCTGCAATTTCAACTCAGAGCACCACAGCTTTAGCATATAAAAGGTGACACTGACAGCCTTGTGAGTAATAAATTTCCATTGATTATTACATTAAAGCCCAGACTTTACCTTTTTAGTAACACTAAGTTCTTTAAATATTCTGGCACTTTTTATGTATACAGAAGATGCAAAACTATTTTATAGGTATAAATTGGTGAAAAATGTGCTATTTTCTAGTAACTTGTCCTCCCTCACGTCTTTTTCCAGGTCAATTTTTACTCTCTGTCCATTGTGCAAGATGTGTCTTGCAATCTAATGCTACGTAGGCTGGCTCTAGCTATGTTTGCACTCTTTTGTAAGGGGTAGGTATTGGTGCATGACTGCATTGAACAAAACCATGATTCTGTGAAAACTGTTTCACAGTTTCAGGAACCTTGGGGTAGCAGAGAACTTAATTTCTCTTTTTTGGTTGGTTGGTTTTTCTGTGTGACCTGGCTGTGGTTATTTTTCTCCTAACAGCCAAGAGTATATTTAGCTCTAGTATGTTTTCTTAGCTCCAGCCAAACTTTCCAGCCACTTCAACTAAATTTTATCACTAACCTGGAAGCATCCCCATAAATTCTGCCATTTTCTGCTCAGGAATGTAGCTACTTTAATCATAAAATGAGTTTTTACTGTGACATTTTATACAGGAGGAAGAATGCTAAAATAAAAGCTTTTTCTTCTTTCTACTGTCTACATTCCTTCTTTCCCTCATAACTTCTGAGTTAAATGGTAGAATTCTCAGAAAATGTAATCCCAAACCTTCCATACAAATGCTTCAGTAAAGTGCTAAATTAGAATAACTCCTCCTTGCTCTGTTAACCTTGAAAAACTCAAGGGACATACCAGATCATCCATGGATGGTCAGGCTTTTGGCACAGTAGGAAATCCACAAAGAAAGTAAATCTGGAATTTGAAATCCTGGCTTTAAAGTTGTGAATTTACTGCCCATCTATATATGAATGAGAACACTGTCATTGCAAATTCCAGTAAATTCTGCTTACGGGATTTTTCTTTAAAGATCTTAGGCAAGAACTTGTTTTCCAAAAGACCTTTATAAAACTCAGAATATCTCCAGCTTGGCACAAGAGCTTTGTTACAATTCTTACATTGATCTTACATTGATTTCTAAATTGATAAAGCAATATGTAGGGTTCCACTTGTGGTGGACAGGGACAAAATAAGGGCTGCATTTGGCAGTTCACTGATCCACCATGTTCCAAGGATCAGGAGGGATGGAGGAGGAAGCTCCCTCATGAGCATCCTGGTGAATTCACAGATAAGTTCTCAGTAGCTGAGCATCTTCTCACTGCCCGGCACCTTTGTGATGTGCTGTTACTGATCCATTCTTGCTAAGCTTTTAAAGGCATTAACATTTTTCCTAAAGAAAGTAGAATGTGACGCTGACAACTTTCTTATTTTAATTGCTTTTAGATTAATATGTAATTATGTAATCAAATTGGATTGGGCATAGGAGCCTATTCAAATTAGAATAATAATGCAAAATTCATGCCAGGATGGTGCTACAGGCTATTAGGAGAGAATTTGACACACAGTGAACTTTGTGTAATAGACTTTTCCTAGAATTTTGACTATAAAGGCTGCTTTCAGGACTGCAATGTTAGTATAAACATCTTACTGTGAATTGTATTTATTTATACACACTTACACCCAAGATGTGGAGTGTGAACTATAGGTTCCCTGTGGTGAAATTCCCCTTGCATAACAGCTTTCTTTTTCATTTGCAGTGGTGTGTGTATTTTATGAATTGTTGCTACCAATATGATAAAATCTTTGGAATGTGTATTTTTTTTTTTTTCCTGAGAAATATATATTTTTAACATGGTTGGTGCTTTTGTCAGTACAGGAAAAGAGAGTAGTAGGCACTTAACTGTGACTTGTGTCTTTTTTCTGATCTGTTTTGAGTGTCAGCTCAGACCTGTATCTTGAGTGTGTTCAGCTTTTGGAGACCTCAGTGCTGAAGCCAGGACCTGTAGGCTTTGGCTTGTCTAATTCTACTTAGAATGAGTATTAGAAGTAAGGTAGAGAAAGACCTGTATAAAATAAATTAGTGGGCATTAATAACGTGTGTATCTGTGTCCAGAGCTTGGGATGAATTTGAGGGGAAAGGTTTTTTCCCCATCAGTACTGCTGAATATAATAGTCAGATAATATGTATTAATTAATTGAAACAAATTTTTACTAGAGAATAGGTACTGGAGTCCTGCAAATCCTGAAGATACTTGAAGAATACATTTTAGAAATAGAGACCATAAGAGCTGATTTTTAAAAAAAATTATCCTCATAGGCAACAATTCAGTACAGTTCATGTTCAGTGGGGGCTGGGATGAAGTGGGGTTGTGCAAAAGCACACACTTTTTTGCAAGCTCAGCCTGGAGGAACTTCAAAGGGCAAAATAAAAAAACCACAACAGATGTTATTAGTAATAGTTCCCTGGCAATATGCTCTTCTCAGCGTTTAAGCTGCCACGATGCGACCTTGAGGTGATATTACCTTTACATATTGATCTCCTGGTGAAAGTGGTTTTTGTTTGTTCGATTATTCAATACTGAGCCTCTTGTGAGAAGTTTGTTATTGGAAGTCTTACAGAAGAAGCATTCTGTAATTTGTGCATGTGCACCAACATTTTTTTTACTCCTTCCCTTCTGTCTCACCATACATTTGGTTTTACTCTTTCAGGGAACGGGTTTGTGAATTCTCGAGCTTCACCAAGTCTACTTGGAACTACTGGTGGTGGGAATGGCTTAGGCAAAGTCATGCCTACAAAGTCTCCACCTCCACCTGGAGGAGGTAATCTTGGAATGAACAATCGCAAGCCTGACCTCCGTGTTGTCATCCCACCTTCCAGCAAGGGTATGATGCCACCATTGGTAAGTTAAAACATTTGTTCCATGACTGGCTTTGTAAAAATGAAGTCTTCTGTCCACGTGCCCAGGAAGGAACTGTCTCATCTGCTTACTGTAGGTTACAGTAGTAGAAAGGTGTTTGTATTCTGAAATTTCTTTAATGAAAATCTAAGTTACAAGTTGTTACTTTAGGAGAAATTAAGTTTTTAAAGACTTTTTTTTTTTTTTTTTAATGTGTAAAATAGCAGTCTGACCTAACTGTGGTTAGAGTGCAGTCCTAGAGAGACAGACTGGGATTTTGTTGTTCTGATTTGACATCTCACTGCCTTGGTACCCAGCACTTTGTTGGTTTGGAGGATGTGGGTTTTAAAAAGGGTTATGCATTATCCTGTGGAGGAATAGCTGATCTTAGTGGTGATGGGAGCTGTATTAACGTGCCCAACAGCACACTTTGTACCTGTTTGTCCTGGGTCATAATGGCTGTGGGATGTAAAATGGAGCTCAGTGGTAATGATGGTCTGAGAGAAACGCTCGTTTGATGTGGTGTGCTGGAATGCAACCTTGTGTGTCCTATGGTGGATGTCGTGTCTTCAGTGGAGGCATCAAAGGATAATGAGATCAGGCTCAGTCCCTGTTTGTGTACTTTTCAATCATACTGTGCAGTTTGGCATGTTGGTAGTAATGTTTGTTCAGCCTAGATTTGGAATAGCACACAAGTTTCGTGTCAGGAATGAGGCAACCGCAGCATGGAGACTAGAACAGGTCTTTCAGGAAGAGTTACTCTGTTTTTCCTTTAATTTGGTTGGCCATGTCCTTTGGTCTTAGTCTTTCACTGTCATGTAGAAATGCTCAACACCTATGTGTAAGTTTTTGTGTATGGAATAATGGACCATAACTAAGAGGAGCAGGATATAAACAATACAAGTGCTCTCTGTATAATTCTTGTTTGTTTTTATGGTACCAGAAGTGCTTACATTTCTTACTGGTATTCATGACTAATAATACAAAATTAATCCAAGTGACAAAAGCTATAATTATTCTCAGAGTAGTGATTCTTGAAGTTTTAAGTTTTTCTAGGAATATTGAAGTGCAGAAGACGTAGGAAATACACTGACTGATAATTGAAGTGAAAATTAACCTTTGAAACTAATTAGAAATAGATACAAGAAGAGGGTTTTGTTAATGCAGTTTGATGGTAGCAGTGCACAGTACTTATTTAGTGTTGTGTTGCTAAGAACAACACACTGTTCAGCTCAGGTTTTGGCTGTCTTTTTGAGGAATTTGGAAGTGCTGGGATGGTATGATAGTTGTATGTGAAGGATATTTTGTTACTGAGCTGGATGTTCATTGGATCAGCACAGCCAGAAACTGCTCTGTGTCTACCTGTGTCTTCAATGTCTGACTGTGTCCTTGCATTTACTAAACTCTTTCTGAGCGAATTTTGCCGAAGTGTGTGTTCACTCAGTGCAGGTTTTTTGATTGACCCAAATTACATAAAGTATTAAATTCTTTGTAGTATTATTTACAGAATTGGGTGGCCAAGTCACATTGTTAAATAAAATAAATAAAAATCCTGAAGCACAAGCATGACTTTTTCTTTCATTCTTGAAAACAATGCTATTTTTAGTAACTGTGTTATCCCTCTTGTTTGCTGAGTACAGTCGGAGGAGGATGAATTGGAGTTGGTGAGTTTGGGCTACTGTGTGATAAGAGAGAGCAAGATGCTGAAAATGTCTTTTACTACAGCTTTTAACTGTAGTTTCATTACATCTTTTAAATAATTCCAGTGTTCCCTTGGTAGCAGACAAAAATACATTTGTTTTATCAGACTCAAAACCTGACCAATTCAAGTTGAAAATATATCCAAAGTCTAGTAGCACTTTCCATTTGTAAACTTGGTTTTTTTTTGTGAAAATATTTCACTTTTCCTTGGAGGGAACATTGGAAAAGAGTCTTACAGAGTAACTGTCCATGTGCATAGGATATTTACTATCTTTTATGCAAAATATAAATGACCACTTATCTCCTAAATTACTGGAATATTTTTAGACAGTGGCCTCACTCATGAAGTTCCTCAGCCTGTAGCACAAGCCTTGTGTTACTTCTCTTATTTTGAAGGAGATGACATCATTGCTGGTGAGGTCACCTTTGTGGAGTTTAGAATTATTTCATCCTGAGTGAGATTATCAAACCACAGGGGTGTTCCCTGTTTACCAAAAGGAACAGAGAATTGCAAATGCATAATTCTACCTTTTTCCAGTGGAAAGACGTTCTGGTTTTGAAAGGAAGCTCTTGGGATTTGTGGGTATTTTTTTCTATTATTTTTTTTTCCAAAAGGTTTTAACATTTGGCATTCTGTCTGGAAAATAACGTAAGGCTAAAATGTTTCATAACTTATTTTTAGAGCAATTTGCAAATTGTTTAGCTGCTGTTGCACAAACCATGCAGAAGATGCTGCATCAGAGGGCAATTGTAGAGAGACACAAAGAACTCTGCCTATTGCATTCCTTGATTGGATTTTGAACATGGACCTGTTGCTAATATGAGGCTCTAATTGCATGAAAAGCATGGAAAATGTAGTGACAAATTTCTTGATCAGTGCATGCTGTTGGTTGATTATTTTTTTAACCTTAAACATGAGCAGGGGCTTTACAAATGTAAGGGAAATGATTTTTGAAAGTCAGTATTTAAATTGTTAAGATTTACTGGAATGACTTGGGGTAACAAACAGCTGTCATGCATGTTCCTCTCACCTTTACAGAGGAGTGTCTGGTTTCTAGTGCAAGCATTAAGCTTTAATTCAACGTAAAAACGCCTAATCAAAGTATTGCAACTTGAATTAATGCAAAAGCACCCGAGTTTAAAGCATTCCCGCCTGCTGAAAATTGCTGTGCTCTTTGCAGTGGGAAATAAATAGCGTGACTTGCTGCAGGCGGGTTGAGTTCTGGGAGGCGTGAGGAGCGTGGGCCATCTAGTGGTTTGAAACAGGGCTCATCTGTCAGGGGAAGAAAGCTCAGAACGCAGTGGTGTCCTCCTGAAAGGTGGTGAAGAAACCCGAAGCACCTGCAGTGTGACCTCTGTTGTTGTGTTGATCCCAGCGCTAGGAAGCAGTTCCAGCCCATGTCTGTGAACGTCCATTCTGTGAGGTTGGAACTCAGCACTGAAGATGAAAACCAGATAGGAAGGGTAGCATAGCATGAAATAAAGACTGATTTCCTCCTGTTACTGCCATCATTTGCACCGGTTTCAAAAATAATACAAATAATCTGAAAGTTTAATGAATCTGGCTGAATATCCAAGTACAAGTACGAGACAAGTCTAAATATTTCTTAGTGTCTTTGTATGGCTGAGTGGTCAGGGTTATATTCAGAAATAAATTACCTCAGAAAACCACCTTTATTAGCCATTCAGACAAAAAAAACATCTCCCATGGGGAAATCCTTTGGTCTGGATTGTTTCCCAGTATACGCCTCTAACTTTTCCATTATACAGTAATCCCAACTTTATAGACTGCCATCCAAGAAAGCTTTGGAAAAAGGTCAATTCCTGACAGACACAAAAATCTACTATAATAATGTATCTTTATGCCAGATAAACTTGGTCTAGTGGAGATTTTCAGAAGTACGTAAGTGATTTAAAGGGATAAATTACACAGAAAATCAGTGGGACTTTTCTCTGTGATATAGGGCTTTGAAATCTGGGAGCTCTGAAGCAGGGTGGGTACATCTGAAGAACAAATGCCAAAAGAGCCTCCAAATTCTGACCAAGCTCAAAGATGGCTTTCAACAGCAGCCAGGGAAGAGATCAAAAGCTGGTAGCCACTGGAAGGTTGTAGATAATTTTACTATGGTAGCTGTGTTATACCTTTTTCTTTAAATTGGAAAGATAGAAGCTAAGGAATAATAGCCCTCAATTCATCTTCACAAAATTAAGCTTAAAATTGAATAGAGCCATGTTTCTGTACCTGCTCATTCTGTTATTATAAAGGGAATCTTGCATTTTTACTACTGCTCACTCTCCCAATATCTGAGTGGAGAAAAAATGAAGCTGCAGATACTGAAATACTTGTCTTCCTGTCTGAAATGAGGAGGAAGTAGTAGTAGCTTCAGTCTTTTACAGCTAGGAAATGGACCTCTACGAAAGACTTGCAGCTTCTACTTCTGTAGCAAGTATTTATTTTTTTCAGAGAGCTAGGCTTGTTTTAAAAACATCTTTTCAGCAGTTTGAAATCCAGCTCTCTTACTTGGGAATGATTCTGTGAGAATGTGGGAATGTAGAGACTTCTAGTATTTCTAAGACTTGTGCAGATAAAACTAAGTATCTGTTGTTTAAAAATTAAAAAGTAGCATATCCTGTTCTTGACAGTATCTGGCGTGGCTGAATGGTGTTGAGCAATGTATTTTGAAGAACAATCTGAAAGTTGCTTCTGTGACAGAGCAGCACATTCTGTGACAGAGCAGACTGGCTGGCTGGTGATATTCACCACGGTGTCTAATACAAGGTTTTCTAAATAGCAAATTTGGTTGAAGAGCTTAATTTGAATTACATGTTTGCTACAGGTGTTCGTTGCAGTACATGGGAAAGACAGACTTATTAAAAAGCCACGACGTGCCTGCTGTTAGATAATCTGAGACAATCTAGTTTAGCTCTTTCCTGTCAAAAAGCACAGTTGCTCTGTGTGAACTGCAGTGTCATTTGCTTTGAAACATATCTGCATTATAACAAGTACTCTCTCAGTTTCTCAGGAACCATGGGAACAGCAAGATTATTTTATCACTGAGGTCTTACCAACACGAATTTAGAAGATCTCTGTGTTCCTTTCAGGACAGGTGTAGTCAGCAGTGTCAAAACTGGCAGCTAAAATTTTGAAAATTGAATAAACAACTGGGAAGTGGGGAGACTCTTCTCTGGTGGAACTGCACCTCGCCATCTGGACTAAAAGCTCTTAAAAATAAGACTAAAAAACTCTTAAATCACTTAAGGACTTCTGAGAATTTTATAGATCTGTAAGAAATTGCATTTATTTTTGTATCTTACAATTCTAACACTATTGAAATCTGCATGCATGGGACACAGACAAGTTAATCTTAATTACTTTTTCATTCCAGTTTGCCAAGATCACTTTGGTTGTCTTGAAATGTTTTGGCTTTTTAGAAAATCTATCCTGACAAAAAGGATGCATTTCTAACAACAAAAAAATAAAGCAAATAAATTTAAATAGCTATTTTTATATTAGCACTTGGTTTTCCATTGTTCTCACTGATATCACAAGACATGTTATTTTTAATCATTTTTAGAATGCCCAAAGGATAAGCAGTTCTCAGTCTACACAGCCTCTGGCTACCCCTGTGGTGTCTGTGACGACTCCGAGCCTGCCTCCCCAGGGACTGGTGTATTCGGCCATGCCCACTGCCTACAACACTGGTAAGCACTGGTTTTAGTCCTGGCTTCATTTGTCAGAGGCACGAGGCTTTTCTGATTCATAAGCCCAGAAAATTTGCGTTTCTGTGACACTTGACTTTGTTTTCCTGTTCAGCTCAAATGAAGGCTTTTACTCATCAAAAATGAGCTGTGAGTTTGTAAAATGTGTCCATGTTGAGAGGTGGGGAAGCAGCTCTCAGTCAGTCAGGCTGCACACAGCTGAGCACAGAGGCACAACAGGCACTGCTCATAGCAGCACTCAGGCTTTCCAACTGAGAGCTGACATGCCCACCTTTCAGCAGAGGCTGGTACTTGAGAGCACCCTGTCCCTCCCGTTCCACAGCAGCAGGGAACTGTGGGGCTCTCAGCTGACAAACAGCTGAGAAGGATAAACCCAGAAAGGGCCTTCAGTGGTTTTATTGAGTGAGGTGGGGGCTTCAGGGAAGGCACAGTCAGCGTTTCACCACGGTGCATCTCTCTGTCTGAAGGACCTTGAAGCTTTTTATCCAAATTGGGTGTGATGCAAGGAATTTGATAATATAAGTAATAAGTGGTTGATTTGGGAAGTAGTTAATGATGTGGTGCTTCCTATTTGTCTCTGTACCAATGGAGATGATTTCAAATTTCATCTCAAGGTTCTTTACTTGTCACAGACCCTGTATGTAATCAGTGAAGGATTTTTTAATAATTATTTCCTTGGAAGGCTGCAGTCTTGATGGTGTCAGGTTGATTACCATTGATCTGTGATGCAGTTTAATTTTCAAATGCACCTGCAGAGAAACTACATTGCGGAGGAGTGCTAATAAATTTAACCAGCACCTATTTTACCTCTTACTTACAACTAAAAAGGAAAACAAAGGAAATGATTCCCCAGGTGACTGTTACCTTCAGATGAAGTCTAGTTAAGATTTTCAAATTTAGTTGCTATAATTTGTGAAAACAGAAATTTCTGAACTGAGGAGCACTGTGTTGGCAATGTTTAAGTCCTACTTGGTAGGCTTTTAAATTAAAAAATAAAAATAAAAAAGTCTTGCTTCCCTCTTCTGCAGTGATAGCTTTCAGGGGCAGAGCTAGCCTAGAGATCTTCCATTTAAGGCTGATCAGCTCTGGCTAGACAGAAGGAACTAATCAGGACAAATCTAGAAAACCTTCAAGGTTTGTAGATGGCCAAAGCCCAAGTGATACGGAGGTTTTGTTATTTGCCTCCTTTCCTGCAGGGAGGGCTGCCACAGGAGTCTGTAATGTTGGAAGGTGGAATAGATGGAGCAACCATCCATTCTCTGTGAATTCTGCCCCAAAAACCGGGTATTTGATACTTTTTTTTCCCCCACTGTTTTTTTAGCTCTGAAAGTCTTCACTGTGGTTAGACTTGTAACCACCTTCCAGCCAAACAACTTCCATCTCTTTGTATGGGTGTGCTGGTTAACTGACACTTCCCACCCCTCAGCCCCTGCACTGCTTTGCCTCCGAGGTGCTGCCCCAGGCACTTCCTGGCACTCCTGAGGTTTGGAATTTAACAGGGACCCTTTAGTCATCATTAACAGTAAATATTTATGTGTGTGGCACCCAACTGAGCTGCTCAACGTTTATGCAAAGACTCTGCCCTGAGGGGGGTAACGTGTAAAGAAATGGATGAGGGAGAGGATGGGGCTGCAGTAGCAGGATGGTGAGCAGAGTGCAGAACTGTACTTGGTGATTTGACTTGGATGATAAGTATGAATTTGCTGGACATGCAGATCTTGGTTTGATACTTGCCATAAGGATTGTTTATATATTGTGTTCAATGGCTGTTTAAGGTCAACAAATAGTTCTGGTCCTGGCTCAGAAGACCCATATTGAGTTTTACCTGTCACCTGGCAAACCCCCTTGTTCTCTTGTGTATGGCACAGTGTTGTGTCCCTTGTCGAGAATAAATCATAGGCTGATGGTCAAAACAGGCTAAAAACAGCAAAAAGCTGAGTGGGGCTGTAGTCTGAAAGTCAGAGTGTTGAAACTGGTGTTGTTCACCATGGACAACTGCTCTTATCACTGGGATGTGATTTAAAAAAACAGCCCGATTCTTCTGATAATGCAATAATTCATGGAAAGCCTTTAGCCTTTAGTGATTTTCAGACAGATCAAAATTGTTTCTGTTAGATTGAGTCTTCCACGGGGGGGTTGCAAAAACAATTGATATTGACACCAAATTGTCCCTGGGTGTTCTCAGGGTAGTCACCACCTGGGTAGCAATTTCAGTTTTGCAGTTCATGGATAAGATAAAATACCAAAATTGGTTTTCTGGATTGACAGGGTTTTTTCAGGGCTGGAAGGGATAGATTCAGCTCTTAGATCTGTAATAAAAACACTGGGTGCCAGCTTTGCACAAATACAGTCTTCTCTGTAATTTGCTTTGCTGGCGAATTAAGTCTTTCTGCAGGTTGCTGGAGGAAGGGCTGGAAGGAACTGGGTTCCTTGCCCTAAAACAGTCGAGGCATTTAAAAAAATGCTCAAAAACTACAGAGATGAGTTAATTAGTAACTTAGACTTGACAGTGCTTATCTAGCCATAAACTGTATTACTGGCTTTGTCAGTTATTTTGCAAAGGCACAAACTTCAAAGGTATCTTGATGCTAAGCAGTAGCGATTTCTGTCACGTAGAAGGCCCTTGTCTGAACAACCTTTCCATCTTGCAACAAGCCACTCAGGTATGGAAATGGGTGTCCTGCTCTCACTGCTGGCAGATGGGTGATTCTTTAGGGAATTGAGCGTGCAGCTAATTGGGTAGTGGCACGTGTATCCTTTGGAAAAGTATCTCCTCAAACCCCTGCCATCAGACACCTTCTGTCTGAAGTACCAGAAGTTAATTGTCATAATTGCAAATTAAAAATACATGGAAACTGAATCCCTGTAAGCATTTTCTTCAGGTCTGCTCTTCCAGAAATCCCATTGGCACAGAATAGCACATCCATCTCAAGTGTTTACATTTACTGCACTTGCACCTTGCCATAGGTCTGGCTGCTTTGAAGGGTGAGTGCGTGTCCCAGTCATGGGAGGGGGGGGGTTTGTTGTTTTTGTTTTTTTTTAGTCTGAAAAGCTCAATACCCTGCTGGTGTGGGACTTGCCTTCCTCCTGTGCTACTGAGGCGAACACCTAGAAGCTGTCCACAGCACATGAGTTGGTGGGTGGGAATGGGAATACTGTTCAAGAAAGGTTGTCTCAGGAGAGAGAAATCATGGTGTTGTCATTTTAGGACAATACCACAAACAAACCCCAAAAAACCCCTAAAAACAAAACACAAACCCTACTTAAGCACAATTTTTGGTTCATCTGCTGGCAGTAGAAAAATACGTTTGGCTGGTAGCAGTTGTTGCATTCTCTAGAGGGTAAGCAGTGATTTTAAGGAAGCTGTATTATGAAATAAAAAAAAGCAGAGAAGTGTTTGCTGCTTTGTTTAAAAACCTGAAAGCAAAGCATGAGTGATAATGATAAAGTGAAAATGTCCCTGTGTGAATGGAGTGAGAATTGCTGAAGGATCATGGCCAGAGCAGGCAGTCACTGCCTGCTGATTAGGGATAGATTGTATTTTATCCAGTTAAGTAGTATTCTGAAATACTACTGAAATTGTTCCAAATAAGGAGATTTTTTGTTTTGTTTGATACAGTTTAATCAGACATCTCTAGTTGGGGAGAGGGAGAATGTGATGTGTTACAGGAGGACTGCACAGATGGAGTGGGCAGAGGGGACATGAAGGCTCCCAGCTGCTGTGACTTGGGTGACACCATCCCACAGGCACCCACCCCACCAGACCTGCTCAGCCCCCCTGCCTGCCCTGGCAGCAGGGACAGTGGCAGCCAGTGCTGTTCTGTGGCTGGGTCTGGATATGGGGTGTGGGACAATGGAGAGCTTTGTACCATGAGCCAGCCAAGTGCTGTGTGTGTCTGGTGCAACTGCTGCCTCTCAGCTGGGAACTGAACCAGCTGGGATGTCAGCAGCACGTTCAGTGCAACAAACACCATTCCTTTCTAATGACTTGTATGAATTCTTCCCTTTTTGTTCCACTTTGAAACTTCCATACAGATGAAATATCTTCAAAAATGCTAATACTTTCCTTACTGTAAAATTCATTTCTATATATAAAGCATAAATACGTTGTACCTGTGGGTTTAGAAGCAGCTGTATGAGACAGCATGTAGAAATTGAAAGTAGGATGCAAAAAATTGTCATTTGGGGGCTTGTGTCCTGTAATCCCCTTATGAAGCTCCAATAACTGCTCCTAGAATTTGAAGTTCTCATCTTTGGACTCCTTTGGGTCTTGCCTTTGCTTTGGGCAGAAAGTCTTTATATTTGTGTGTGTGTATCACATACATTCTCATGTTGTTTTATTGATGTGTGTGTGTGTGTATATATATATAAAATCTATTTGTTTTTCCCTCTTAGATTACTCCTTGACTAGTGCAGACCTGTCTGCCTTGCAGGGATTTAACTCCCCAGGAATGCTGTCCCTCGGGCAAGTGTCTGCCTGGCAACAGCACCATCTCGGTCCAGCCGCCCTCAGCTCTCTCGTGTAAGTACCATCACCTGCCTGGGAGCTGCTTCCAGCTGAGGAACCTGCCCTGGGGAACCTGCAGCACAACCAGTGTAGTGTCCTGTCTGCTGGTGGGGTGGGTCCTTTCAGGTTTGCTCCTTGGCTGGAGAAGCATCTGTGGTTCCTGCTGTTGGTCCTGTTGTCAGTGCAGTGCTCGAGCTGACCAGCTTGTGTCCCTGCTGGGCCAGTTTCTTACAAAGGAGTGGCCTGCACGATGAACTTAGATGATTTGAAACAGGAAACATTTATGTTTAACTTCTAGAAATGCATTCAGGCCATTAATTAATGCTATTTTCCACTGTTTCTTCTTTCCAGTAAGTTGTGTTTATTTACATGCTCACCTGGAGGGTGCTGAGCCACAAGCCCACACACAGCCACGTGAATTGTCACTTTCTTTTCCATTTCCTTGTTTTCTTATTTCTGCCTTTTGGTTTTCTTTTCCCCAGTACTGGCAGCCAGCTATCTCAGGGTTCAAATTTATCCATTAATACCAACCAAAACATCAACATCAAATCTGAACCAATTTCCCCTCCCCGGGACCGTGTCACTCCCTCTGGGTTCCCGCAGCAGCAGCCCC